TGGTATTTGTCTTTACTTTACGCTCTCCAAGCTGGGACTGACTTCTTTGGCACTGATAGTATAACATGTTATCGACACTACTTATAACGCATTATATTAACAATTCATAATGTATAATAGACATATATAAAGTGTAATTCATTTTTATAAATGTTTATTATCATGTTTATAATGCCATGTGAATGCATTATAACATGTTGTAAATGTGTTTATAGATGCTTACAAACGTGACATTCATAGAAAGTGTTACCAACAACTCCATATCATTATCCCTCCTCACCAAACTTTACAGTTGGCAGAATGCAGTCAAGCAGGTAACGTTCTCCTGGCATTCACCAAACCCAGACTCGTTCATTAGACTGACAGACAGAGAAGCGCGATTAGTCACTCCATAGAACATATTTCCACAGAGTCCAGTGGCGGCATGCTTTACACCACTCCATCTGACACTTGGCATTGAGCATTTTGATGCTAGGATTGTATGTAGCTGCTCGGCCATGGAAAACCATTTCGTGAAGCTCCTAACACACAGTTTTTTGCTGATGTTGCTTCCAGAGGCAATTTAGAAACTCTTTATTGAGTGATTCAACAGAGGACAGACACTGTGCACTTCAGCACTCAGTGGCCCCACTCTGTGAGTTTGCTTGGTCCACCGGTTCATGGCACAGCTGCTGTTGCTCTGAGGTGCTTCAGTGTCTCAACAATAGCACTTACAGTTAACAGGGGCAGATCTAGCAGGACAGAAATATCACAAACTGGCTTTTGGCAGAGGTGGCATCCTAAGACAGTGCCATGTTTAGAGTCACTGAGCTCATCAGTACGACCAATTCTACTGCCAGTGTTTGTCTATCGAGACTGCAAGGCTATGTGTATAATTTGATCTATCTGTTAGCAATGGGTGTGGCTAAAACATCTGAACTCAACAATTAAAATGAGTGTCCTAATACTTTTGTCCATACAGTGTAGCATAAATGTAGCATAATAGTCAGTTCACCACCACCTAAAGTGTCCAGTGAAGGCAGTAATCCAAGATAACCCAAGTGATTTCACTCTTGACCTTAAATACACTCTCAGATTAGCGCGAACACAACTGTGTGATCTCCTGTTACGGTTGATTAGCCTGATTTTCTGCTGCGTGGCTGGCAAACTCAACATCAATTAAGCATCTAAACACAAGAGGTCTTGTTCATTGATTTCGAGAAGCCCTGCGCATTACTTTAATGATTATTTGTGAGATGAAGAATGGAAAAAAAGCATCAACACGCTTGTATAAGGGTGTTCTCTGTAAATAAATCTTTAATGAGCACATTCAACCGAAGAGAACATTTTGTCACACAATGCCTTGGCTATTTTCCTGCTTGAAGTGACATCACTTTAAAATGAAATGTGTTGAAAAAACACAATACTTTCCTCCTCTATGTAAACAGCGGGCACAGAAAGCTAATATGAGCCAATAGCCTATAGCCCATTTGTCAGTATTAGCAGAGCTTATCAACTATATGCACAGCAGTGAATGTAGCCTTTTCCTTTTCACATTTCCATTTGCCTATATACAGTACATACTACAGCATATAGTACGAAAAGGAGTAATGATGGAATTAAGCACTGTCTTTTAAGTGAAACTGCTTATCTAGGCCTTAAATGCATGACCTCATTTCCCCCTCCTCACAGGGTGCTCATAGCTCTTCACACTTTTCGTTTTAACCAATAACAAAAAGCCAGAGATACACTTTATATTCAAAAGTAACGTCAGTACCTGACCTCACTAATGCTCTTTTGGCTGAATGCAATGAAATCCTCACAGCAATGTTCCAACATCTACTGTAAAGCCTTTGCAGAAGAGTCGTGGCTGTTGCTGCAGCAGTACAGGGGGACAAACCCCTTTGGTTTCAGAAGAAACATTGGTGTCTACACGTTTAGATATACAGGCCCAGTTTTGAGGACATGGATTAAGGCTAATCTAGGACTAAATTGTAATGTCAAGGGCTGTTTACATTTGAAATCCCATTTTAGTTTAGGATTAAGCTTAATCTGTGTCTAGGAAACTAGACAAAGTAGAGTTTGTTGTACAGCTGTTTCCCATCGCATAACAGAACCATAAAAGCGGGCTTGATTCGCTGTAGGTTGTGTGGTGCTCACATGATTTCTCACGCAAATCTTGTATTAATAGTGAACACAAATAACTGTAGCAGCAACAGTGGAGCTTTAAGGTCGGATTTACCTTTAGGACAGTTTTACACTGTCATGGCAGTCTTAAGCCTGATTTGTATTCGATGTAAGTGCCGAGTCAATAGAGGCCCGAGATATGGACGAACAGTTAGAGAAAACCTTCACGCATTTAAGGGCTAGAGGTGACAGGCCTTCCGCTGAATCGCTTTAATACTGCAATCCAAAGCTGCATTTGCCTCTATGTTAAATGTAACTGAGTTGCCTGGGTTACATTTCTGCTGCATTTCAGATGTGCTGGGGTGAAAACAGAGAGTGGGAAAAAGTGTCTCCTAAGTGGCTCTGAAATGAACATTCATTTGCACTTTCATCAACGGTTAAAATATGCATCGCTCCCTCTTCTGCAAATTGCATCTGCGGAACGTTAATGCGGCAGAAAACAATCTCTCTCTGCCATTCACCCTCACTCTCGTACAGTGGATCTGGCACGAGGGCAAAGACGTGCGCATTGGAACATCCTGTTTGGCACGCTAATGGACACCATTTGCCGCCGGAGAGGGATTCGCATGTGTGTGAGAGAGAGATGGAGATGGAGAAACACGGATCTACCAAACACGGAGAGCAGCAAAGCAATCAACAGCGACATACTGGCACGCACAGAGACCTACATAAGGGCACACATACACACACATACATAGATGACTCAGAGAATTTGTCCCGAGCGGTGAGTCATTTGGGATTCTCGCGCAGCGACGTGATATTTCTCATTGGGGTAAATCTCATCGGCCTGATTGATGTCTGCAGTCGTTTTTTTAGCAATCCAGGTCCCCATATGGCCCGTGCCTGAGCTTGAATACTTATAAGTATTTATAGTACTCACTTTTTCTGCTTGCTCTTTCACTCTCTCAAACGCACACACAGACATAGTTTCGTTTGTCCCTGTGGCAAGCTACTCCATTTTCTTCCCTTTTTCGTTCTTTATACGTCAGCCTCTGATGTCTTTCTGAGGCTTCAACCGTCACTGTTTCTGCCCATTCAGAAGCTCAAGGACAACTGACTGCTGTGAGATGGAAGTAAGATTAAAGTGGGGACCTTCGCATTCTCCAACCCTGTCTGCTCTTCCGGAACTCTCTGTCGACTCTCTGGTCTCTTTAGCTGAACGAAAGGCAAAACATGTCCATCCAGCGCTCACTTGTCAACTCTGCGGAGCAGTGAAACTGCTTTGGGAGATGAAAGAACCTTCCGACACGCTCTTCTCTTTGCTTTGATACCCTCTAACTAATTGCCACTTCTGTCTTCAAAACAACTTCAAATGAGCAAAAAACCTCTGTCAAAGTTCTGACACAAACTGTATCCTGACAAGTTGTTCTTTGTCTGACAGTAGCAACAAACGACTTCACTTCTTTCTCTAAAACATTCTTTCTCCAGTAAGGTCTCCACCTGCCTGGCATGCCTTGAACACTTTAGCACCTTACCCTCTAGTGTTATCCGATCTATGACCATTCCTTCCTTCATCAAGACTGCTTCACGCAACTAGGGAAAGCTTCCATGTTTAGCCCTGTCCTTGGGTCAAATGACAATCCTCCGTCAAGCCTCATTCAAAATGTATCCTAACAGTTTATTCTTGTTCTCCTGCCACTAGCAACCCATGACCTCATTTCCTCCCATCTACCTGGTACATTGTTTTCAGTTAGGCCCTTCCATTCCTAGCATTCCACAAGTTTTTTGTCTCTAACAATTTACCCTCCAAAATCAGCTCCACCATTCCTTCTTCAAGACAGCTTTAATGCACTTATGGCACTTACGAAAACCTCCATGTTTTACCTTCATCGGTTGTACTGGATCCCGGCAAGTCATGCTTTTTCTCCTAGTCGCCGTCTTTCCTAAGTAGGTTTTGTTCCCCTCTTTTAGTCTATTTAAACTTAGCCATTTGTGTCACTCAAATTCTCCACAATTTTCCCCCCAAAATTCCTTCATATCTTCTGCCCCAAATCAGTTTACCCAATTGAGGAAAACCAGCATATATAGGCTGATTTGATTGGTTGAATAACCAATAAACCTCTGAGAACTATATCTCAAGAATACCGTATCTCAACTCATTCTCCTGTTCACCTGCTTCTCTACATTGCTACAGTTGCATTCTTATTTCTTACTCCTAAACTAGTTTAACACTGTCTGCTTGTTACATTCCTGTTCCCCTTGGGGTCCCTTCACTTCACTTGAACAATGACCAATTTTCTCTCTGATATCATCCTAACTTATAAACAATTATTCTTTCTTCAAGACAATTTTTACACAACTAGGGGAACATTGCATGTTTAGCCTGCATTTGTCAGTCTGTCAATCCTGTGACATGAAATGCATCCCATCAAGTCTTCTTCACCAAAACAAATTCAAAGCAACTTCAAAACCATCTCAAGTCTTTAAAGTGGCTGACCAGGATATCAGTCATGTCTCAGCCCAGTCTTCTGTAGACCTCACTGAGGACCTAAATCTCCTCGTTGTAGCTGCCGCTGACATACTGTCACTAACAACCCGTGACCTCCCCCGCCCATTATTTTTCAGTTGAGCCCCCACCTCCTTCATATTCCTTAACCTTTTGTTTTTATAATTTACCAATTTACCTGTTCATTTGGTTGGTTGGTCAATGACCAGTGAACCTCAGCTAAGACTGTAAATGAACTGTATTCCAACAAGTCATTCTCATTCTCCTGACTTCCTTGTTTTGTTTTCTGTCTTCCCTTCCAAATTTCCCAACTTCCTTCCCCTGAAACTCTTCATCCCTTCTTACCTAAATACTTTCAAAGCATGTTCTGACATGATCTGCACCCAAACAAGTCTTCTTCCTCAAATCAAATTCAGAGAACGTTCAAAGTCCATCTCAGTCCAGACTAACAGAGTCTTAATATAAAGTGGCTGGCCGGGGTTTCAGTCACCCAGGTCTCCACCTTGCCTTCTGTAGACCTCGTTCAGGAGCTGGATCTCCTCCCGGTAACCACCAGCATCCTGCCGCTGGCGTCGGCTGTTCTGCCTGTGCGCCTCAACTGTGTCAGGGATATGGATGTTGATGCTGTCAGCATCTGGGTTGGTTGGGATCAGCAGTGAGTAGGAGGCAGTCTCGCCCAGGTCACATGACACAAAGCGGTTCTCGCGACGCGAGTAACGCAGCGACGGGGAGCGAGCATGGGCTGATGACTGGCTGATATTGGACACGATTGACACACTGTCCATGGCCTCCTCATTGTCACAGATCTCCAAGACTTCCAGGTGGATCTTCACATTGGTGTCGGCTACACCCCCAGGCGCCGGAGCTCCACCCCCACCACTGCCACTCGAGTTTGGCTCGTCGGCACTGGGCTCATGGCCCACAGACTTGGAGCGGTACACCTCCACCTTTTTGGCATTGTTGGGGGAGATCTTGAGGCCATCACTGCTGACCTCATAGGTGGAAAGGGACAGCGTTTTGCCTGTGGGCGCATGGAGAGACACAGTGCCCTGGAAAGCACAGAGGGGGATGGCCAATCCGCCTGCACCCGCTGATCTCTGTGGAGAAACACAGTACAGAGCAATATAGCGTCAGTCAAAGCCAGGACAGCCAGGATCATTTCAAGATACAGACTGAAATTTGGACAGAAATATCTTGTGGGTCCTCTGTATTGTCCAGTACTAGATCTCAAATATAGCTCATCAGTCAGTAGCCACTCTTCAATATGTTTTATTTCGGTTACCATTTTTCTAAATCAGAGTATTAAAGATCCAGTTGAGGCACTGGGTGTTATTCATTTGCACACTAACATGTTTCATATTGGATATTTGTGTTCAACTGAAAATCTGGGTTTGCTAAAAATAAATGGAAAAAACAACAAAAAGAGCCTTGGGAAAGTGCTGGGCCTTTACAAGCTGCCAGGACAGCTTCGGTGCAGCACTGTCATCCTTTAAGGGATCAACAGGACAGAAATATATCTTCCTAGGATATAGGTCGCATGTGTCAAGCTCCTGTCCTGGCGGGCCAAAACACTGCTTACTTCAGCATGCTACCTCATTAAACACACCTGATTCAACTTATCAGTTAATTAGCAAGACCTTCATGAACTGAATGGAGAGCATTAGATGAGGGTAAATGCTAATCTCCACAGCACTTTAGCCCGGAAGGTCCCCAGTTTGACATGCCTGATATAGGTGAATAACTTTGTATTGATTTGCAGTGAACTTCCCTCTAAACAGACAAGTGGATCCAAACCATGCCAGTAAAATGACCCCAACAGCATAGCCAGCCACCAGACACCCCTCACGGGATTAAGCATTCAGGCCAGTACTGTCCTTTTTTTTTGTACACCACATATGCATGCCTCCATTTGTGGATCACTCATCTGACCATATCACTTTTCCAATGAAAAATTCTGTCTCACACTAATCATACTAATGCACAAGTAACACAGTAATTGGATGAATTTTGGACCACCATTTCCAACCCTACTGACTGATGTATTTCCTATAGGTATAAATGTACTTTTTTCCTATTTTTCCTACTGAACTCCTAGCTGGTTGAGCAGTCTTTGTGACCGAAGCTCCAGCTGTCCACTCCCCTAATGAACCTTCTACCACTTAGATCTCAGCATTTGCACTCAGTGAACCTGTTTACACCTTGCATTCATATGTGTTTCATGTCCAGATTATATCTGGATAAACTTTGACTGGATTCCATTTACACTTTTCACTAAAATACAGTGTGAACAGATCAGAACCGATTTACTTTTCCCAAATAAAAAAGCACATCAACACATGTTGTCTCTGTTTTACTTTGAGCTTTCTTGCTACTCTGAATACTTTGAACAGTTAACACAGTTGGAGTTCATGAGAACTCACTGTAATCCATAGAGTGGTGAAAAACATCATCTATAATCCAGAGTTACCCTGTCTGACCATCACTCTTGAGCCTAGCTAGCCTCTCACAAAACGGTGAGTGGACCCCAATAAAGGCACATAAAAAATGTATCTGATTTAAGCATTACAAGCTGCTTCCGTAAAAAGCCTACGACATCGCTTGAAGAGAAATACAGCAACTTCTAATTAGAAATGCATGACGTAGATTCATCACTCACAAAGGCAGATGGCTGTTTGTCATAGTGCTCGGTCTATTATGACAGAACATTCTTTTACACTCTTTTAATTCAAAATCACTTTCAATGATTAAAAAGACACATGGTAAAGGACTTTCTTTGACAAGGACAGAGAAAATGTGGCAAACACTCTCTTCAACCTCACGGGAAAGAAAAGCTGAAAGGCGCTTGATTAATTAAAAAAACGGTAGTGCCGTTTAAAAGCAGGTTGATGAATTTCTTGCCGTTTCGCTCGCCGCTCGCCTGGAGATAATGAGAGCAGTGTGTGCAAGGGACCCACAAACAGCAGGGCTCTAATCAAATCAAGACAAGGAGTCTAAGCACTAATTGTTCCAACTATCCATTTACGCTCACTTCGGAGACTCTGCTTGCGTTTCTGTGTTCTGCAAAGACACGGTAATGAGAAATTCAGGCCGAGTTGGGCTTCCCACAGTGAAACAGTGGAATGGAAGGGTCGTTCTCCTCGCTTGTCATTACAGAAGGTTCGGTAATGCTTTGTTCTACAGTACCTTAAATAGGCACTGGGTATTAACCAGGTTAGTGTGAGGTACAAATTCAGAGGTGCTCAGTATTTTAGTTATCACGACAGCAGTACTTTACGATAATATGCCTAAGGTACTATTCACACATACTGCATCTGCGTGGTGTGAGCAACGCGGGCAGTGTGAGTGCTACAGCTCGACCGCACCTGCCCTTCATACATACAGCGTTTGTGCTGCAAAGTGGAGCAGCAATAAAGTTGTAGACATTCCTTTTTCCAGACGAATAAATGGTCACATCAGTCACTCTGCTCAACAAAATATAATTTACATAAATGCATGTTATACTTGTTCTTCCTGCACAGCATTCTGACTAGAGGTCGGGCAAAAGTTTCAAGCCTGGTAGACCAACAGCGAAATCTGTGTGCAGCACAGAATGTTTAAGAAGTATTTCATCATGAATTAAATAAAAAAAATAGTGTTTTAAGTTTGTATACAGTTTTCTATTTTTTTCCACTGATTTTCACGGCTTATTTTAGTGTATTTTGCTGCGTGAAGCACATTTGGCACTGGGTCTATTCTCGAAACACAGCAGCACTTCAGTCCTGGGCTGTTAAGGAAAGCAATAACTCTTACTATGATTCCCAGAATTTAGTTCGGAAAACTATTATATGCCATAATTTTACGCCATAACTTCCCCGCTACCTGTTTCTGATTTACTTTCCTGGCAGTACTTAAAATTTAGTTTATGTTTAAATGTACCCACCTTGTTACTCCAAATATATATGATGTATTTTACTATGTCCTTTATTAGTTTAATAGGCAGAACTTGATGGAGATTTCAGTGTAATTTTGTTAAACCTTCTTGGTACTTCACCTCTTTTAACCAAAATAGTTACACAGCACTTTGGAGGTTGTACCCCACACTTACTCTGTAAATATCTAGAAGCTGTTGAGTGCTTGGCAACCTCATCTGAGCATGTTGAGGCACTTGATGCTTTGGGCTGGCCCAGTGAGTTAGAGGCTTTTGTGGACATTGGAAGACTTTCATTCTTAAAAATAAAGGATAAAAGGGTTCATTGGAGCAACAGAAGAGTCTGTTTCCCGCAAAGAACCCTTTTATGGAGCCCTTTTGTAAATGAGATGTGTGAGTATAAAAGAACATCTTCAAAAATTGAATGCAAGGGTTCAATATGGCAATTTCTCCTAGCACAGTTATGGGATTTCTAATAGTATGTTAGCACTAAGCTAATGTCGGTTTGTCTATTTCACATAAAATATAGACATTTAAAGCTTCTAAAGAGACATATTTATTTATTTAGACTTATACGATCATTAATTTATATTTTCCCTTGTATGTATCAGTTGTACAGCGACTGTTTCAGTAAAGAGTCCTGACCTAGAGCTGCTGCCGCTGTTTTCTTTTCCTTACAACTAACATAAACTTGGTTAAACCTAACATGATGTTTTTTCTCACAAAATTGGTCCTAGTAGTAGGTTCCAGTGTCACTTCTTAATTATGACGGTAGGTAATCTAACATGTAAGGCCTTCTGTTCAGCTCCTGATGTCCTAAACAATGGGAGAGCTCTTGGGTGTGTCTGTCTAGATACCACAGGATAAAATTCTTATTTCAACAATTTTCTGTTGGGTGTTCTTAACCCTTTTGTTCCAAACAACACTTAACATTAAAATAAGAGTATTCATACAAAACTTGCAGAGTTTAATCATGCATGATGATTCCACTAAATAAAATGCCCAGAGGGTTCCCCGACTGGTGGTATCATGTCCGACGGGATTGTTGCGATGACTAATTTTAGAGAGGACTGCATTTGAAACGGAAGATGAGAGACAGCTGCAAATCAAAAGGAAGATAAGCAAGCAGCCAGTCGATCCTGTGCTCAGGAGATTAAATCACCCCACTCCACCAAGATGTGTGAATTATTCAAATGCTTATTCTTGATTGCCTCTGACCATTCTGTCCCGTATAATGATCAGCCTCAGTTTTCCCTATTTTATTGTTTAATATTAGTTTCCAGACGGCAACAGCCTGGCACATTGCAAGCCTGAGACACAGTCCTGCGACTAGATTAAACAACATGCAATGTTCTCTGGAGCTGAAGAAGAACAACTGGGAAAAGGCTACAGATGGCAGCATGATGGAAAACATTACCTAGGGACAAGTCCGGTGATGGAATCCACAGATGCAATTTACACCTGATTTGAAAAGGCTCTACCAGAAATACATAGAATTTTATGCCTTAACAGATATGGCACTATTAGGTACCAAAATAAAAGCATGTTTCTTTAGTATGAATGGTCCAACTGCACACTAAGCCACACTAAGAAAGAGGAAGAATAACTGGAGCAGCAGAAGATAATCATGATCATCCAGATCAGGCCGAGGAAGCGAGAGGAAAGAAGTTCAAATTGACACATTCGTATCCCAGACTGCCTATGGGTTGCTTTATAACGAAATATGTGCAGCTTACTTTCCCCTAGGCCTTGATTGTGGATGAATCAAGAATGCATGATGGAGCCTTACGAATGTGGGTCCACTCAGTACCATCAAACTACAGCCTTCCATCACACACAGTCGAATATGCAAACTGTCAGCCAAAGTACATGCACTCATCTAAAAAAATACTGATTCATAAAACCCTTTGCAGTGATGTTCCACCCATCAGCACTTTATATATGATCAGCTACCCCTATATAGCAGTTTAGCCCCTCACTTCATGTTGACCTGACGAGTGTTGATAATCTAGACAGTCTGCAGCAGAGTTACTGGAGTGGAAGATGTGGGGGAACTGATTAAACATTGTACTGTTCCTGGCTGTCAGGAAGCAAATGGGTCATGGCACAGCCTTCTAAAAGCAGTGGTTCTCAGACCAGTCCTCAGCAACCTCCAGACGGCCCACATTTATGCTCTATCCCTGTGTTGCA